GGTTAAATGTCCCCTGCCAGTCAGGGATGTGGGATGCCGACCGCTATTCCTGCCCAGACACACACCTCCGGATGCTTCTGTGCTCTGAAATCCACTTAACGTGGGTATTTCAAATGAAGAGAAGGATTCGGGCATTTTATAGCCCCACGGTCCGACCTTTTAATCTAATGTTATTTTATTGTTCCTGTTTTATTGTTCTTTTTCTGCAGCGATGGAAGCGAGTCCCATCGTGACGTCCAAGCAGCGAGAGGAGGTGGTACACGGGGTCCCGACGGAGGTGGTGTGCACGGCGTTCTCCAACTCCGTCCTCGTGGTAGTCACGCAGTACGGCAAGATGGGGACAATCGTCTACGTGGACCCCAACACAATCGGTGACAACGTGGGCAGGCCCTCGCTCACCACAAAGGTGCTCCTGGGCAAGGATGAGGTGAGAGCAGATTTACAGTGAACAGGCAGCAAGGATAAAGGGGAAATGTAGTAGGTGGGGCTGTGCAAGTTGCCAAGGAGTTGATGAATCACAGCAGTTAAGCGGTGTTTGCACAGTGGGAAGATTAATTTTAAAATCTCTTCTGAGGGAAGAGGGGTTCATCGGAAAAGTATGCACGCTCATCTGCTCTTTGACACAGCAAAAGTTTAACTAACTGTGAATGGCCTGGGGATCTGTTGTTTTGTGTCCTACAGGATACGGATTGCTTCGCAGTGTTTATGGAAGGTTTGATAATGCTCCTGTTGATTTAAGGGTTGCAAGATCAAAGATGCAGCCTTTGATAACCTTTTTGGGGTTTCTGTTCCAGTGAGTTTGTTTTCCTTTTCAAGTCCCTTTTCTCGCCCTCCACCCCCAATCTATGCCAGCCCCAAAATGGACTTTAGTTGCCCTCTCCCAAGCGTGCCTGCCAGCACCTAGCCTTGATAAAGTTTAATTTGTTTTGCTTCAACAAAATGAGTTTTTATCGACCATTTCACCAAGCTGGAGAGAAAGCAGAAGAAAATATATTTCGCAAAGTGTCAACTAGTCAAGCATTAAAACAGAAAGTTACAGAGCTACAAGATTATGAGGCTTTCCATCAGGGTTGGAGCTATCAAATATTACTTGCTAACCTTAACTAGAAAAACTCTAGCAACACAAGTTCCTGATTCTATCCGCAGCTTCCCCTTATGGAGTTCTTCAGCAATAGCCTCCCTTCTCTGGATGGGATATGCTTTGCTTTCCCTGGTGTGATGTCTGCTAACTCTGACCACTTCCACCCCCAGGCTGGTTTTGTGTTTTATTTGGTAATGGGAAGTGCCTTTGTTTACTTTGCTACATAGTATTTTTAAATCATTTTACCAACTTAAGCGATCTAACTAAACTTTAAGAAAAGGCTTCCGCTAGTTTGCTGCCTTCCTGCTTGTTGCCGTTAACATCCCTGTTGGGGATGGTGCACACTTCCAAACCACACTGGTTGCTAAAATCAAGCAAATTCATCCTTCTGATAAATATATAACTGTGGGTGTAATTAAACCCTAGACGAGCTGAATGGTTCAAACCTGCACCAGGAGAGGTTTAGACTGGACATTAGGAAGCATCTCTTTACTGAGAGGGTAACACTGGAACAGGCTTCCTAGAGAGGGGGTCGATGCCCCAAGCCTGTCAATGTTTTTGGACAATGACCTTAACAGTGTGCTTTAACTTGTCCAGGCCTGAATTGGTCAGGCAGTTGGACTAGATGATCGCTGTAGGTCCCTTCCAACTGAAATAGTCTATGCCGTTCTATTCTAGCCTATTCCTGTTAAAGAAACCTCATTAAGAAGGTTATATCCCTTTTCTTCCCTCCTTCAGCCTCGCCACTTATTTCTGGTTTTCGTTATTAAAATTAAAACCAACACGTCTTTTACACATGGCGTGCGAACACTGTGTATATAACACTATTTTGGGGTCTCTAGGAACTGCAAAAATAACATTTATTTTCCAGAGCTTGTCAGCAGAACATACCCTCTTAAGCAACAAGTTTTTAAAAGAAAATTCTTCTTGGAGACTTTTTCAGAAATCTGGCTATGATGGAAATAGAGACATTTTGATCCATGGCATTTCATATAATTTGATATTTGGTGACGTAGTTTGGGTGGGAGGATTAGCGGAAGGAAAGATTCTCTGTACCAACTTCCCAAGTTTTCCAAACTGGTGCAAAGCCCAATTCAAGTGCAGCTCCAGTTAAGTTGTTTCAGGGTGGTTTGGGTGGCTGTCCCTCCTGGGTCCAAACTCTTCCCTTTTAAGCTGGTTGAGAAAGTGGTTTGTAAAGTTCCCCGTACCATGGCCTGGCTTTGCTGACCAGCCAAACGCGTGTCTGTTCCCGGTCGTGCTGGAACCGCTCAGCAAACCGCGTGCTCAGCCCGAGTCCGGTATCGACAGGCTCTCGACACACTCCATGTCATTGCAGGACTCTTCCTCTCCGGGGCTCTCCCAGCTGTCGGAGTGCACATCTGTATACTTTGTTTTTCAGCCCCTCGTCCATGTTTGTGCCAAAAATCTGGTGTCGTTCGTATCTCAGGAAGCTGGGAACAAACCCGTTCTTCTCGCCATGGCTTTAAAGGACAAGACCATGGAAGGAATACAAGCTCTACGGGAAGTGATCCGAAGTTGCCAAGTGTGGTGAAGTTGTGCCATCTGGATTCAAGGAAATGATCTTGAGTCCATGACTCATCGCCACTTATTTAAAAGGACAAGAAATGAAAATGATGGAATGTCTTTGTGCTGGTTTTGGATGTACTGAGGAATTTCATGAATTTTTCTCTACTGTGTAGAACGTTTGTGGGTTCTGTTACTGTGACAGGTTTGCAGTCCATACAGTCAGTGATGAGACGGGTACAATTGTCTCAACATACAGGAGTATTATTTTTATTACACTGGGTAGGATATATACTTGGGAAAGGGCATGGCTCTGCGTTTGTGTCCTGAGGAGCGATAGATGCCAAGCTCTGTAGCTACGCTGTACCGCAAAGGGGGAACACCCAGTGCAGAGTGAATAAAAGAAACATTGACAAATCTAATTTTACCTGTTTTCTTTTTTGCTCCATGAAAATCACTTCAATTGAAATACAACCCTCAGTAAGAAATCAGCAGCAATTGCATAATAGGAAAGATTTTCTTGCCTGTTTTTAAGGAAATGAGTCCTATATGACTGCTTTTGTCCTTATGTCTGTCCCTTTCCTAATGTAGTCTGAATCCATTTTCCACTTTCACTCCGATTTTAAAGCGAGGCAGATAATTACGCTCTGCAAATTTCATGAAAGCTGACGTCAGGGTGGAAGACAGGAACCCAAATTAGCAGTGAGAAAAAGACAAAATAACAGCTTATGGATTGCGTGGTACCAGGACATGGGAGAGGCAGCACACACGTAGCTTGGGCCACAGGAGAGCTGTCCCTCTCCTGGAGCACCTGTTGTAGGAGACATGGGGACAGAAGGGTTTGGGGGGTTACACCGGCCTGTTTCTTCTGAGTCTGTTGGGGAAAAAAAAAAGGGTTGGGTGAAGTGACCTGAGTTGATGCAATGCTTAATAGCCAAACTTTTGCCACTTGCTTGGAAAGCACATTTCGTTTTACCTCCTCTTGGAACAAATAACCCCAAGTAGTAAATTTTTAGGTGAGCTGTTACACACTTTTGTCACATAATGAACTTGACCAAGCAGACAGAGGCCAAGGTCTTGGATTCTGGGCAGGGAGGACATGGGCTGTCTTAAGACCTGCTGGTATCAGCAGTATCGGCACAGGGCCTGTGCCTGCCCCACGTAGATCGAGTTGCTGGGTCATTTCTGTTGCTAAAAAAATCCCCTAGAAGTAGAAAAGCAGAAAATGCATTTCGAAAGGACTCTTTTCTCTGAAGTAAGGGTTATTTACAGTATATAAAGGATTATGAGAAATGAAACTTTTTCTTAAAAGTACATCCAAACACTGCAGGCTTGCAGCTGCCCTTGACAAGAAATTTCGTCTAAAAATAATTTTCCGAACTGTGCTTCCAAGAATCAAAGATTTGCATCTGTCAGAACTCCAAATTTTCCCTCTTTTACACTTTTTTTTGTGTGTGTCTAGGAGGGCTGAGCGAGGCATGTGGAATTTGTTAATGTCAATCCTGGTTTGCTAGTAGGGATTCTTTCCTGACACAAAATTCAATGTATTTCCCAAATCCTAGTGCTCTTAGGGCGTCCGTAGCTCCAGCAACTTGTGGTAACCATACAGTAATTAGCAAACTGAATGTCAATCGCATCTTCCGCTGTGGTGATAGGGTGGCATACCGCCGCTATGCCCCGAAGACCTGAGTGTTACTACCTAAAAGCCAACCACAAGTTAACCACTGTAATTTCTTGGCTCTGCGTGCCACCAGGTCTGCGCAGGGTGGCGGGTGAAGAAGGGACGTGGAGATCATTCCCATTTGATGCTCAGAGCCAGGACAGATTTATCTTGCTGCCTTTTCATGGGAGATAAACTAGACCATGAGCAATAGATCCTTTGACTTCGCTCCTCTCTGCTCTGCTGTAAACCAGGGGCAAAGCCTGCCCCAAAAAACAGGCACAGGTCTGTCGGTACCACCAGCTGCCTGCCCTCACTATCCTCCAGGTAAGGATTAATTCCCGATTGCAAGAAAACCTGCCTTTGCCACCCAGGCAGAGCTCTCGCCCTCGGCCGCAGGACCTGCGCCGGGCTGGGGGCAGTGGCGTCGGGCTGCGCCGTGGCTTTCCATCCGTGTTTGCTTTCCGGGCGTGGGTGCTGAGCGCGGAGGACTGGAAAGGTAAGTTTGGTAGCTTTTCTGCGGGAGACAAAGCCCGAGCAGGGTGCAGCGAGGGTGAGCGGGGCGCTGGCAGGGCCGGCTGCCCGGACCCTGGGGGGCTGCGCAGCAACGGGGGGCACCCCCCCAGGGAGCAGAGGTTGCCCCAGCCATCGGTCTTGAGCACCCTTGGGAGCTGCTGGGAGGGCAGAGCCTGCTGGCAGGGCCCTCTGCGTGCGTCACCCGCTCCTCTGGACGGGCTTTAAGGAGGGCTTGACGCTGCCCTGCCTTAATTTATAGCTATGTGCTATGTAGGTCCTTCCTCCTGGGTGGCCTGGGGGTGGTATGGAGAGGCTGGTGGGGTAAATAACCCTGTGCCCTGGCTTTATCTGAAAGCAATCAAGAGGAAAGGCACGTCTCCTGCGCTGGTGGGGCTGAGCCTGGATGCTCCCCTCCCCAGGAAGGGGGTCAGGGATCTCTTCCCCCCGGCCCTTACCCGGGCACACAGCCAGCATCGCAGAGGCGCTGGGGGGGGCTGAGGGGACTCAACTTTCCTTTCTGACTGCCCCAGCCCCATGGGGGCTGCCACCGAGGTGAGGATTTGTCCCTGGAGCTTCAGGACACTGGGAGGGATCTGAGCTGGGAGTCCAGGCTCCGGCAGCCTGCCGATGGAGGGGAATCCCTGGCAAAGTGTAAAGCCCCGTTTGCGGGGTGGCCTGCCTGAGCACAGGTTTCACTGCTCGGCTTATTTCCTGCTCAGTGCTCACTTAGCATCTCTAATATCCCAGGCAGCGAGCGTAACAGGCAGACACAGCGTAGCGGGTACCTGCAAGGTGTCTGAAAACAGCCAGACTGGACGTGGCACTGGCGCAGTCCCGTCGAGGAGCTGAGTTTTGCAGTTAATATTCTCTGTGTCTCCTCGCCACCTTTGTTTTGGAAGCGACTGGCCCTCTAACTGCATTGAATTGCCCGGCTACCTTGCACAGCCGGGATCTAATTACCTCTGGAGCTGGGAGCCCCATCTCCAAGAGGCACCCAGGCTTTTGTTTTTAATGACTTGCTGTGCTGCATTCAGAGGGTGACAATGTAGGGGAGCCCGCCAGGACCGGCTGCTGGTGCCACCGTGCTCGCACCGTCATGGCTGGGAAAGCTGATAGGAGTTGGGATGTCTTGGGCCAAGCATCTGTGTCACGGCGCTGGGTTGAAAACAGAATAAATGGGTCTAGCAATGAGCACAGCTCTCTGCCGTGTCCTGGGAAACAATCTGGATCGTGTCCTTCTCTATCGTGATGCTCTGGCAGAGGGAAAGCGTGGTCAAATCCATCTGTACACCCCCAACCTGTGGCAGGGCAGCCCCCAGAAGGAGCAAGGAGCTGAGGGGGACCGGGCTCTCGCCTCCCTCGCCGTGCCGCAAGCTATCTCCGGCCTCCTGTTAATGTTTACAAGGCAGGTCTGGCGTCGTCTGTCCAAAGACCAGAAACCTCCCCAGCTCTCCCCAGGATCCTGCTTCCTGCTGGCCGGGGCAGGGCCACAGGACGGTCGCAGGGAGGAAAAACGCAGCTCCCCGCTGCCTCTGTAACGCTGCCGGCCCCGCTCTCCCTCCAGCCAGCTCCGGCTCCACTTCCCTTCTCGCGGGCGCAGGTACGCCGGGGTGAGCTCCTGGGACCTTGCCAGCACGCCGCCGCCCCGGGCATCTCCGCTTACAGGCGGCTCCTGCCAGGCAGAAGAGGGGGGGAAGGTATTTTTAGGGCTGTTGATCTGACACCCAGCTGAGTTTCCTCTCCTGTAAGGTTGGGGTTCGGGGAGAGGGCAGGAGAGGAAGCCGCAGGGCGAGCTCCTGCTTTGGGTTCTGTGTTTAACAGGACCAAGGTCATTCCCCACCACTCTTATCTGTGGCAGATATTTTCTTGCCTCTTGCCAGTTCACGCTTGCAGTTTTACCCCAAGGCGATAGTTACCCAGCAGCTAAAATCCTCCTTTGTTAACAATGCACTGAGGAGCATCTATGTTGTTTGAGCTCTGCTCGCAGGTTGTTGGTTTATATTTTTAAACCACTATCGTTATACTTGGGAAAAAGCAGCTTTCCATAGATTAGCAGAAAGAGAGGACAAACATGGCAGTTTATGCATCTGTTGGCCTTCAGATATGAAGCTGCCCTATAAATAAGAGCGTATTATTAGGTTGGTCCTTGCCATCTGGAGCCACAGGGTACATGGTACCCATGTGCCCTGGCCACCCTCTGCGCTGGGAATGCTTGGCACCTTGGGGTGACCAGCTTTGAGGGGAACGGACCTGTCAGAGAGATGCCAGAGCGCTTCAGCATCCCCAAAGGGCAGCAGCTCTGCCTGCAGCATGGGGGGCTTGCTGCCTCGTGCTTAATTCGGGTGCAGGAGGGACCACTGGCTGCCCTTCAGTTCTCGGGATTGGCATTGCTGGCACATCAAGACCCTCATGATCCCAAAATGGCCAAGGCTGGCCGGACGCCCTGGCTAATGCCAAACCTCTGGCTTCTTGGGCAGCCCTGGGGTTTGCCCCCAGCAGGCCACGCATGAGGAAAGGAGTCAGACTCTGGGAGGGGACCACAGGGATCCCAATGTCCTCATGGCTTTTTGGTAAGGGGCTCGTTATTATCATGGGTGAGGGATGACTTTAACCCTTAAGTCTCTGGTTCCTGATGGAAAAGGGTCCTGAGCCATGAGTGTGAACTCGCAGGGGCACAAATGCAGGCAGATCTTTGCCTTTCAAGCAGGATAGTGACCCCTGTGAAACACAGAAGTAGCAAGGCTGGGGAGAAGTGTGTGTTTTGGGGGACACAGGACAAACAAAGGATGTTTGCATTTTCCTGCTGGGAGAAGCAGGACTGCATACACCTCCTTGGAGAGCAGAGGATCCGCTCTTGAAGGATGTTTGCATTTTCCTGCTGGGAGAAGCAGATCCAACCATGGTGAATAGGCTGGTTAGGGTGAGGGACACCCTAGAAAAAGCCTGGGGAGGAGATAAACCTCACAGGAGGTTTGTCCACACTGTGTGGGCTGGGAAATCTGCTGGGACCTTCCCCTTCAGCAGCTTACCTCAGTCCTGCCTTCCTGCGCCGCTCCCCTTGCCTCTCCCTCCCTGCAGATGAGTAATGCCACGCGTGCCTTGTCCTCTCCCATGGCACCCGGCACCCCGGGGCCCGGCACGGCAGCCAGGCTGGCCTTGGCTTCCCCATCCCCGGCCCTCGTCCTGCTCACGGCCGCCCACAACAGCTCTGAGAATGGCCAGCAGCTTTTCCTGACCACGACAGCAGCACAGGTCATCTCTGGCATCTTCGTGTGGTCGGCGCTCATCGTCACCTTCCACCAGGTACCAGCTGGAGCAGACGCGGGGCTCAGCACTGGGGTTGACGCAAGGGCAAAACTATTGATTGCCCCCAAGTTCATTGCAAATCACTCAGGTCTAGATAAATATTTCGTCCCGTTGCTGCCTAGAGGGGATATCTCCGCTGTCGGGAGCCTGGTGCTGGCAGCTCGGGAGGGTGGACTTTGCCCACACGCTCCCCAGCCAGCTGCTAGAGCCGGGAGAGGTTGCAGGGCACCGGCACTGCCCGGAGGCAACACCCAGTGGGGTTCCTCATCTGGCACCCCGGGGTCTGTGCCTTTGAGGTGCACGCCGCCAGCTGCCTTGGAACGTACTGCCAGTGGGCATGGGTTTGGGTGCTGCGCAGATCCGTGCCGCTGAAGGCAGCCCAGGAGAAAGCTGGTGCCTCCGAGCACTGGGATGGGGCTGCACGTGGGCTGGCATGGAGGAGAGCATGCTCCCCACTTAGCGCTGGGGAAGGCACCCTACTTCCACATGTTTTTGTGGAAGGGATTGCCCCAGGGACCAGGATGGAGCCTGTTTCACTTGTCTGTTCGCTGTGGTGGGTCTGTGGTGGAAAGCTGGTGGTGCTCTCATGCCAGGGAGGAGGGTCAACATGGGATGAGCCTCCTGCAGCTGCCCAGGCTGGGGACACCCCTGGTTCCCCTCCTGAGTGGTGGTAGCCACAGCTCTGCATGCTGGGCACTTTGCAGATCTACACGCACCTGAGGAATTACACCATCCCCAAGGAGCAGCGCTACATCATCCGCATCCTATTCATTGTGCCCATCTATGCCTTCGACTCTTGGCTCAGCCTCCTCCTCCTCGGCAGCCACCAGTACTATGTCTACTTTGACTCGGTGCGTGACTGCTACGAAGGTGAGTGCAGCCTCTCCTTGGCAGGGAGGCTGATGGCAAAGCAGGGCTCTCTCCCACTGACCAGTGTCTCTGGAGTGTCCTGGATTGCACAAAGTGGCAAATCTCCATCTCTTTCACTTCCCGCTCTCCCTTCCTCCATGCAGAGGTTTTCCCCGTCCTCCACCAGCAGCAGGGAAGGGATGCCCCATGGGGAGACACGAGCTGGTGCCTTTTCACTGCCTGCCTGAAGGCTCAGGGGGACCCCAGCGTCATGCTCCTGGGGAAAGAGGTTTTCTGATTGCCTTTGGGATAGAAATGCAGCTTCTCTAAAGCAGAAAGTAGATGCATCTAAGAAACCGGGGAGTTGGGATGCTCTGAGGTACAGGGGAAGCTCGTCGGGGTTGAGGATGCGCTCCCACCTTGTTCTTCCCCTGGGGAACGGAGAGGTGTGGGTATGTGTATTACTTCAGGTTTGGAGTATATGAAAAATAAGTGATGGGGATGTTCAATAAAACTGTTCCTTGCTAGCTGCCAGCTGCTTGTGCTGCCCCTTAGCAACTTTGAGGTCCTTCCATGCAGACAAGCCCTGGCCATTGCACTCCTGCCTGGGCTTGGCTTGCCTGGGCATGCGTGGAGGCCAGCTCCACAAGCACTGCTGGGATGTCTGCCCGCTGCCACGTGCATGCAGGGTCTGTGTGTGCACGGGGGAGCCGCTGTGTCTGCGATGAAGCCTGTGCACATGGTGCAGTGCATCCGACTCCGCTTGGAAGTCAGATGGATTTGACCTGCTGCTTCTCGCTGGGCTCCCACCTACCAGTGTCCCAAATTCTGATGCTGTGCTGGGGTGGATGAAAAGACACCTGAGCAGGGAGGGATGTGAAATGTAATAACACCCCCCGCTCCTAGATCTCCATCAGCCCTGCTGATCCTGTCTGCCCTTGCCTTGCCAGCTTTCGTGATTTACAGCTTCCTGAGCCTGTGCTTCGAGTACCTTGGTGGGGAGAGCACGATCATGGCAGAGATCCGAGGGAAGCCCATTGCGTAAGTCCATGAGTCCCACGAGTCCCTCAGACCTCCACCTGCTTTCCCCATCCAGCAGCCCCAAACAGCATCTCCTCAACTTCTGCTTCCAGGTCCAGCTGCTTTTATGGGACCTGCTGCCTTCAGGGTATGTCCTACTCCATCGGGTTCCTGCGCTTCTGCAAGCAGGTGGGTACCCGATGGGGCGCATCAGCTCTGCTCCCCTCCGACAAGGGCTCTCTGGGTGGCAGGTCCCTTCCCTGCTGCCCTGTTGAGAGGCCTCTGCTTCACCGCTCTCCCGAGATGCTCTTTTTGGTTTTTTTTTTCCTCCGAGGGAGGCAGCTCACCCAGCTGGCCGGCACCTGGCCAGCAGCGCTCGATGTCCTTGACTCTGACTCACTGCTGAGTCAGGGTCTCCTCCCACTGCAGAGCCGAGATTGCCATCTCTGGTCAGTCCCAGGTTAGCCGGGATGGCTCTCGCACTCTCCAAAAAATCAGGAGCTGCCTTTTGGGAGCCCTGCTCTCTTCCATCTGCAGACCTTGAGCTGGTTCATATTTCATCCCCCAGCATTGGTCCCTCCCATGATGGAGAACTGCTCTCCACTGTGTCTCTGTCCCGGGAGCAGAGGGGTTGGCTCACGTGGAGGGGCCAGGGGTGGCAGGAGCTGCAGGGCGGGTGGTGGGATGTCCCTGCTGCCCGGGGTGCACCGTGTCTCTCCCCTGTGCAGGCCACGCTGCAGTTCTGCATTGTGAAACCCCTCATGGCGATCATCACCATCATCCTGCAGGCGTTTGGGAAGTACCACGACGGGGACTTCAAGTGAGGATGCTGGGTCGGGCTGGGGAGGGTGAAGGGGACAGGAGGGGTCCCTGCTCCATCACAAGGGACGGTGTCTCCTGCCAGCCCCCGCCGGGGAGCTGCTCCATGGGTAGTGAGAGCACAGGGAGCCCAAAGCACCGGGGAGCAGAAACTCACTGTCCCCAGATAAGAAAGGGATGAAACTCCTGTGAACCATAGCAAGAGAGATCCCACCAACAGAGAAAAAGCTGAGAGCGGCTCCCTGCTCCCCCCCTTTCTCCCTGCCTCTCCTTCCCCTCCTGGGCTGCGCTCTCCCCCGGGGCAAAGGCACACACTTCTCTCCCTTCTTTTCTTCCTTCCTTGCCTCTGGTTCCATTCACTTCGCTTCCCGCAGCCCATGGCAGCAGCTCGCTCTCTCCCCACAGTGTCCAAAGCGGCTACCTCTACATCACCATCATCTACAACTTCTCCGTCAGCCTGGCGCTGTACGCCCTCTTCCTCTTCTACTGCTCTTCCCCGGGGCAAAGGCACACACTTCTCCCCCTTCTTTTCTTCCTTCCTTGCCTCTGGTTCCATTCACTTCGCTTCCCGCAGCCCATGGCAGCAGCTCGCTCTCTCCCCACAGTGTCCAAAGCGGCTACCTCTACATCACCATCATCTACAACTTCTCCGTCAGCCTGGCGCTGTACGCCCTCTTCCTCTTCTACTTCGCCACCATGGACCTGCTGCGCCCGTTTGAGCCGGTCCTCAAGTTCATCACCATCAAGGCAGTCATCTTCCTCTCCTTCTGGCAAGGTAGGTCCCACCATGGATGCCCAGCACTTCTCCTCCTGTAGCCCCACCTGACCCGGGGACGCAGGACCAGAGTTGATCCCTCTCCCTTCTCCTGCACAGGGACATTGCTTGCAATCCTGGAGAAATGTGGGGTGATCCCTGAAGTTCAGATCATCGATGGGAAGGAGGTGGGAGCTGGGACGGTGGCTGCTGGCTACCAGAACTTCATCATCTGCATTGAGATGCTCTTTGCTTCCATTGCCCTGCGCTATGCGTTCACCTGCCAGGTGTACAGAGAAAAGAAAGAAAACTCAACAGGTAACTCTTCCTCTCTTCTTCCTTCCTTCATCGGCGAGTAAGGAAAGAGGAGACTCCCCCTTATAGCATTACCAGTGGGATGCTAAAAGCCGCCAGAGGTGTTTCCTTCTCCCATGCTCCATGAGTTTCTTCTCCCTATTCCCTCATGATACCCATGAGCCACAGCGAGTGGATAGAAAAAGAGACACTGGTGTGGATGGGCAGCATTAGGGGATTACAGTAGTACAGCACATGCTGCTGGAGAGGTTCCATCCTCTTTGAAACATGGAGCTGGGGTTGCCTTTCCTCTCCTTGGCGCTTGCCACTGCAAGCTGATGTGGCCCACGATGAGGCCCTGATCTTGAATTTTTAAGGAAAAGTGTCACTCCAGTCTTGGAGCGCTTGGGCATATTGACTATCTGCTGTCCCATCACCCACCCGCTCTCCCTGTTTTTCAGCAAACCTTGCCCCGATGCAGAGCATCTCGAGCGGGCTAAAGGAGACCATAAGCCCCCAGGACATCGTGCAGGATGCAATCCACAACTTCTCGCCCGCATACCAGCAGTACACCCAGCAGTCCATGCAGGAGGCAGAGCGCAAAGCGCCGGGAGAGAACGGGCACGTGGTCTCCAAGGTGGAGGGACTGAGCGGCAGAAAGAGCAAAAACATTGAGAAAAGAGTGCTGATCCTGTCGGATGAGGAGCTGTAGGAGACGTCAGAGGTGACAGTGATACTGGAGAGGTTTAAACCCATGCAAATGGGAGCTGTCTGAAGGCTGAGACAACCTGGTCTAATTGGAGTACCGAGAAGCCAGGAATTCTACCTGAAAAGCCAGCCTCTTGAAGGGAAGATGCAATAACCCAGGGAAAGGTTAAATCAAACAGTGCCAGCTTCTGCTGTCCCATCTCTACTGGTGTTAGGGACTAGGCTGACTCTGCTCCTGCGACTAAGCAGCCTTGCCTTGCTGTCTGGGCTTTGCGGCCCCACTGCTGGTGTCTCGATGCCAGCCCTGGGGGATGCCAGGAAGGGAGGGGAGCCAGGCTGCAAGACGGACCAGCCGCCCTCGCCCTCCTCTTACCTCCAAACAGTGCTGAGGCCTGCCAGAAATGCTTTTCTCAGCACAGTTCTGCTCTAGTTTCTCCCAATTTGAGTAAAAAAATGATCTCAAAGGGCCCCGTGGAGAAAACCAGCCCAGGAAGGTGACTTCACTTCACCTCAAAACCCGGTAACGGCTGAAAGACGTCATTCCTTATTTTTACATCTTCTCCCCTCTCCTTCTCCCAGAAAAGCCTACGGAGTTGTGCAGAAGACCTTTACTAGGGAGGAAGAGTAAGTCCTCCTCTTCTCCCTCCAGATGGGGATGCAGCTGCCCGAGTAACTCCCCTGGGAGCAGCAGTGAGGTCCCACTCGGGGCTAACGCACGGTCTCGGTCTCGCAGCTGCATTTCTGAGAGCTGCCTGTGACAGAAGCGCTTGTTTATGTCTAAACCGACTTATCTCTGAATGGATCAGAAGTTAAAAGGGACTCGAGCTTCCTTATCAGAGGCTTTATTAGGAACCAGACTGTGACTGGTGGTGGTAGGAATGCACTTATTGCAAACTGTCTGTTCCTCCTAACCCCCGTCCCTGGGCTTTGCCCAACCTGTGGGAGGGCAGGCAGGAGCCAAGCCGGCCGGGTGATGGTGGCGGGGACAGAGGGGTGGCTGGGGGCTGCCGCCGCTCGGGGCACGACCGCTGGCGGGGAAGATACTGCGTGGAGGGATTTTCCCCGTATCAGTGATGGAGAGCATGCATCCTTCTGTTAAACTTCCTCTCTGGTTTTTTTTTTTCCCAATTTTTAGTCCAATTTCTGTTCCCCTGTTAATCAGATGATCCCTGGGAACTTACTTAGGCACTGGCCGGGCTGTTGTTTGCGGGTGGGAGCTGGGTAGTGAAAGGACGAGGGCAAATCTGCAGCCTCAGATTTGCAGTCATGTGGCAAACAAACTGATGGGTAAGGCTTAGAGCCATTTTACACACAACTCCTAGTGGGTTGGGGCTTTTTTCCCTCCTCTTAAGCTGCAAAATGTAAATCGCAACATGAAATTATTTTATTTATTAATTTTTTTCTAATAAACAGCAATTTCTACCACGGGGTGAGAAAGTGTTTTCTCTTAGCTCAGCAAGCAAAGCCCACGATCTGCCTGTTCCTGCTCTAATGCTGATGCTCTTAAGCTCAACGTCCTCCCGGCCCCTTGATGCTGGCCCAGCAGAAATACCTGCACACGCAGCATCCTTCACATTTTGGCATTCCCGCAGGATTTGTGCTCATCTCTTTCACTCCACAAAGAGTGTGTGCGTCCCCCGCTCCCTCTCCTTGCACCGCACCTCTTCCAACCCTCGCATAAGCTGTGAATGCAGCAGTTCAGAGCTGCTGGATCTGCTTTAGCCGAGCTAAGCCCAGACTCCAGCAGCAAGACAACCTCTGTTTATTATTGTTGGAGAAACCTTATCGTGCTGGAATCCCTGACTCCACATGAGCAGCCTATAGATAAGCCAGTCTTGCAAGTCCCTCTGCTCCGAAGCACCGCTGCTCATACCTGCTCAGCCGCCGAGACCGCTGCTGCTTTTCCTGCAGTGAGGTCCATAAGCAAGAACCATACGCTCTGTGCATCCAGGCATCCATCCCAGGTCCTCGTGCATACTGGGAGCAGGACCCTCCTGCCCACGAAAGCGCAGCCTCGATGCTCAGGGATGGGGCTGCTTGGCTCTGTAACGTAGCCAGCACCGAAGCAGGGACCTCTCTCAGCTGAACCTCTTGGTCTCCTCCACCCCTCTGGGAGAGGGCCGGTCACAGCTGCAGAAACAGAGGCTGCTCTGGCTCCCGGGGCGAGGACAGACTGCAAAGGTGATGAGGACGCATCTGTCCGTGCGCTCACAGCCGCTGAGATAAAGACTTGCACAAGAACACAGCAAGAAATGTAGTTGTACTTCATTGCCAAATGATCGACTCCGGTGCATAATGGGCCTGCGTTCATTACTCCTGCCAGCAGGTGCAAGTCCCACTGCAGACAATAACATTTGCCTATTTATGTCAAGCCCTGATTACTGTATTATATGTAAAACAGGTCTTTCTTGCAAGCAAAAAAAAAAAAGGGGGGGGGGGGGGAAGGAAATCAGCTGTGACTCATCCAAGTCAGCAGTGTGATACCAGCCTGAAGGAGCCGTGCTGGGCTGGACACCAGCTGGCTGCTGTGCCGTGCAACAGCAGGCAACGCTCCCCTCCAGCAGGCGCGAGCTTGGCCTCCTGGTCGTCCTTTTTCTTGGAGAAGGGAGAGAGGCAAGAGCTCACGGCTCAGGCTGGGCACCGTCACGGCCCTCAAACCTGTCAAAACGCATCCACGGGGAACAGAACTACCAACGGTGTTGTAGGCTGAACGCGTTCCCCGGCAGACACGGTCCCGTGCTCCTCTGCTAACGCGTCTCCTCCACCTCTTCCACAAGGACGTGGGGAAAGCTGGCGGCGAGCACACGGGTGACCTACACAGGAGCCCGGCTGTGCCTGGAGCCACGCCAGCAGGCAGCTTGGGAGGAACAGGCTTTTCTCGCTGCCAGCAGCAGGCTCCGGTGGTCGGCAGATTTGTTTTCCAGTTGTCGCTTGTCCTCGGGCTTTCCCCAAGGACATGGCTGGGCTGCGGCTCTCGGTTCTCCCAGTGCTTTTTGGGCTTGCGTCAGGCAGGCTTACAACCTGCTCGTGTCGGGATGCACCCTCGCGGGGCACACACGAGCCGGGGCCGACCACGCGTCCTGCGAGCGGAGGGGAAGGAAGATGGCCACGAGCACCACAGCAGAGCCAGTGCCCTGGCATCCGGCTGCTTGCCTCGCAGAGCCCAGTCAGAGCCAGAGAGGCTTCT